ATGATTAGACCACCATTTACTCTGTATAGTAAGTTCTGACTTACAAACATTAGAGTTGAGAACTTTCACAAATAGGAAGGAACCTCGCATTTTGAACGTTCCTAGATGCAAACAAATTGCGGAAATAGCTCATTTGTTTACCTTACCATTTTAAAGTAACTGTAAATGTAAAAATAGTTTATTTGCAGTATTTGTGTGTGTGTTGTTGTTGTTATTTACATTGTGTTTGTGTCAAAGGCGTATAAGACTCACTTTGTTGGACTTACAAACAAATCCAATTTCGGAATGTTCTCCAGGAAAGAAACTCCTTCATAAATGAGGTACTTAATGTATTTTTTTCCCCTTTCTAGTCCAATTATGCCCCCTGGTGGTTATTGCTGCAAATGAAAGTAAAATACTCCCTTTATAAATGTGTCTTCCAAATTCATTTGTAGGTCAGAATGTGGAAGAGAGAACTTACTTCTTGTATAAACAATAAGTAATGGCAGATAGTGCAGAACGTGTCACCAAAGCCTATATAAATAATGTTTGAAATAACATTGATGGAGCACTATGTTGCTTGATTTACATCTTACTCCCCTCTTCCACACACATACACAGAATCACTGTATCCACCATTACTGCCACCACCACCATTCCGTCCCCATCTCCCCACAAGTAGAAAGAGAAAAGTAGCAGAGCAGAGCAGAGCAGAGGGAAGGGGGTTTGTGCTTCAGTTAAATCTCACATCTCTATATGCGCCTGCCTGGCCACTTCTCACCACTCCAGGGCATCAAGGGTGTGGACCACCTGCAAACTTAAAGTTCTTCATTGCCCCTGCTAGAATCTTGGGGCAAATATTAAACAAATCTTGCCTTCTCTCTTTCCCCATTCATCATTCCTTTTAGCTTTCCAGAGTTAGAATCACCTTCCAAAATGAAAAACCCAGGGTATATGTATGGGGCGGGGGTGGGGGTGGGGGGGTGGGGGGAGGTCCTTAGGCTCAAGAGCTCCCCATAGAAATTTTTCAGAAACCAATAAGCTCCCAAACACCTTGTCTCTTTCCAGTTTCCCAATTTTCTTTCACTGGTGCCTTCAGGAGGCTTTCTGGAATTGAGAAAAGGAACAAGCTTACTCTACTTGTAGTAAATCAAATGTCAACAGTTCTTTGTCTTATGTGGCCAGATATTAATCTTGCTGCATGACTCCTACGGTCCCTTCTCTAATAAGAAAGAAGTAAAACATGGACACCAAATCTGTCAAACAGATTATTTTAAAAATGTAGTCCTAGGGTAGGTGTGTAACTCGGTGGTAGAGTACTCACTTGCTTACCATGCAGGAAGCTCTGACCTTGGTCCCTAGCACCACATACACAAACACAAAGAGCTCTGTGAAATGTTATGAAATCCATTCAAAAAGATTAAATGGATAATTAATCTATTTTATGATTTTGGCAACACAAAAAATAGCTGACAGAGTATATGGACGAGTAAAACTTTTGTGGTCTGAGTGTCGAATAATTTATTTCACTTAATTTATGGCTATAAGGAATACTTTTTTAAATAATTGAAATTGTTTTATATGATTTTGTTTATCAATTACCATATAATGAATGACTTACAGGTTCACAGCAACTCTTTATTATACCTCAATTCAATGAATTGGCTGGACGACCATGTGGGTTACACTTGAGGTCTGTCACATATTTGGTGTGAAGTGGCAAAGTGGGCTGATAATCCCCATGTCATTTATTTATGCACATGGCATCACCTTCCACAGCCTCCAAAAGCAAGAAGCAGAAGATGACAGATAGACTTTAAAGTTTAGAATTCAGGCCACAACTGTTAATACTCATCTATATGCCCTCCCAACTCTTTTTTCCCTTCTACTGCTAAAATCATAGTATAAATAAGTCCTAGACCTTTACTTCCTCTGCATTTTGTTGATCAGAGTTATATATGCCTAGCCCAGATGAAAGGACCACAACCCAATTCGTAGAGGAAGAAGTGACCTGAAAAATAGGAGGAGAGCTGTAATGAGGGGTAGTACTGACTGGGACATCTTTAGAGATCAGCCACTACATTGATTTTTTTTTTTTTTTTTTTGAGACAGAGTCTCTCTATGCAGTACAGGCTGGCCTTGAGCTCACTTTGTAGCCCAGGCTGAACTCACAACAATCCTCCTGCCTCAGCCTCCCGAGTGCTGGGATTATAGGTGTGAGCCACCACTCCTGGCTACATTGATGTTTTTAAAAATCAAAATGAAATCATAGGTCAGTAATAACAGTATTAGCCAGCTTTCCAGTCACTGACACAAAATCCATAATTCTTAAAGAAGGAGAGGTTTGTTTGACTCAGTTTCCTTTGGGTTCAGCCCATGGTTGGCTGGTTCCGAAGCAGAAACAGTAAGGTAGAGAGACATGGCAGAGGAAAGCTGCTCTTTTTTTTATTTTTTTGGAAAGCTGCTCATTTTGTGGTAGCCAGGAAGCAGCAAGAGAATGGAGGGCAGGGGAGGGAGCTAATCCCTCCTGCGGCATGTACTCAGTGACACATCTTCCAGCCAGCCCCTACCTCCTAAAAGCATATTTAGATATGAACTCATCAATAGATCAATCCACCCATCAGGATAATGCCCCCATTAGTCAATCCGCTTTCAAAAGCTCCACCCGCACATGAGACTTTGGTGGCACACTGATCTAGATTGAAACCATAGTATTAGTCCTAAATCTGACTTGTTATTCATTCATTCATATTGAGGGATTTTGTGCTAGGCAGTGTTCTAGTGTTGGGATGCAGGATATAGAATTGAACAAGAGAAAGGAAGGTCACGTCTTCACATAGTTTACATTCTTAAATTCTTACACTGAAAAGAATAAGCAAAGTAAACATGCACTAAAAGGTGAGATAGGTGGGTGGGAGGCTACTTTAAGAGTGATCAGAGAAGGGCTTCTTTGAAATGATATTTGAAGACTTGGAGGAAAACCACTGGGAACTGCAAATTTCCAGGGCCTGAGGCAGGAGGATCATAGGTTTTGAGTTCTGCCTACATAACTTTGCATGACTCTATCTCAAAATTAAAAAAAAAAAAAGACTGGGATATAGCTTAGTGCTAAGAGCACCCAGTACCAAACGCACACCCAAACATTACAGTGCCTGAAAGAAGCTTGGAGTGCTCATCTGAACAAACAGCACACAGCCAGTACATTTGGAGAGTAACTCTTGAGAATGATTCGGGTCAGGTCACAGGGATTGACAGAGGTCAAGCCACAGAAGCCTTCAAGGCCATAGTAAGGGCTTTGGACTTAATCCTAAATAAGGGAAACAGTACAAAGGTCTGAAACAGGAAATGTATTGATTCCCTTGTTCACAAGATCACTTGCCATTTAAAAAATAGTGGTCAAGGTCACTAAATAAATTATGATAAGTAGGTGCTGCAGGTTTAGCTAGGGTCATAAGTAGTAATTATGGGGAGTTAGTAGATGAGACATATTTTGAAGGGATTGCTAATAAGTACTGGCATTAATGATAACAGTAAGTGCTACTTACTGAATCCTTACTATATGTCAGACACTGTAATATGTGCTTCAGCAATGACATTTAACGTAAACTACCTAACTTTATGTGGTGGTTCTATTACCTTTGCTTTAAATGAAATCCAGAGATGTTATTTCCTTAGTTCAAAACTGAAGCAGAACTTGATTTAAACTCATCCATTTGGGCCTTTAAGCCAGCAGTCTTAAATTATATATCAAATGTATTTTTATACTTCTAAAAATATTTTTAAAGGCAGAGCTGGTTGCTGTGGGGAAAACAGAGGGTCATGAATAGCCTGTTAGTGTTATAAAGGTGATCAAAGAGTCCAGAACCTTGAACCCACCTAAAAGCTGATTAAGGATGCCTGCTTTTTTGGTGATTCTTTATATTCTTCAAATTGTTTGTGTGATTTCCATATTCAATTTTTTCTGTAAATTTTCAGTAATTATTTTGTGGTTGATGTCAATCTTTAGTTGAAATGTTAAATGTGTCTAATGACTAATAGAAAGATTTTTTTCCTTGCATTTGGCAATAATAGAAACAATGTGCATGGCATAAAAGAATTATGGAAGAGTAACCCTTTGAACTATTAATTTCTAGTTTCCACCTCCTCTAGACTGTGCAAAAATGAATAGACATTTATATAGACTAAACTGAGTTACATAGACTAAACTGAAGAAAACGAAGCTGATAAATACTCAGCTGTCAGCTCTCAAAAAAACAAAACAAAACAAAAGAAAAAATACCCCCATGATTTCTACCCTACAAAAAAAGATTCAGGTATATTTGGACAGAGCTTTTGCTCTCAGAGATTAGACAAAGCATGATTTCACTGGGAGAGAAGCAGCAGTATAGACAGAAAGCATATGGGAGAGAAACGAAGCCCTCAAGTCTGCAGTTACCAGCCCAGAGCCAAAGCACTGGCTAGAAGCTAAGGAATCATCAAGTGGGTTCTGCCATTTACCAATAAATTGGCCCAGTTTGACATGCTCCTTGCCCGTGTCCCAAGAATCTCTTAGTATTTCTCTGACTGATCATCTTTTGAGAAAAAACCCTCATTTGACAGTCCAGGATATTCATTTTGGCCCTTTTTCTGCCCCCAAAATAGAGTGTGGGGGATCTGCAATTCTTATTCCATGATTTGGGAGAAGGCTTAGAAACTTTCTGGGGAGATATTGGTGACACTGAGGAACTGGAGTTATTTGGAATCAGTGTGACATCATCTACTGAGCCAGGATGGCAGAGGAACACACTGCCTCATTTTGCAATGTTAAAGAAGTATCTCGTGCAAGCAGAGAACATTAGAACAGGAAGGGAATTTAAAAGAATGCAGGTCCACCCTTCCACATATCAGAGAGGCCAAGGAGGAAGAAGATAAGCCTAAAAAGAAACCTAAACTGCTAGTTAAAATCATGTGTATAATTCTTTTCTTTTTTTGCAACACTTTAGTTTCTAAGACATTTAAAAAGTCATTCTTAAGAAATTCCATTAAAAATGCAATTTTTAATAGGCAATTTGTAAACAAGAAAATTTGTGAACAAAAACAACTTACAGTGTATCTGAGCATTATTTTTCAAAGTAACATTATGCCAATTCTTTTAGTTATAAAAGTCAGTACTGCATTTATGTTCACATTTATTAAAAAATCTTATAGTAATTCTACCTTTATGTATTAAATACTGTACTAATAACCAAACAAGAAGATCGGGGCTTGTAAATCATGGGACCTGTGTTGCTGGCAGATTAAATCCTTACTAAAGCTGCAGGGGACCCAGCAAAGTGAGGTGAGGCTACCACTGAGAGCGTTGGGATGTATCTAAGAGGAGGAACAATGCAGAAGGTGTCTGCCTTAACCACCGAGCATCCCTTCAGCCAGGAACTTAGGTAGCAGCTAGCAGCATGTGTGACTGTGTACAGTTTTCACACAAAGTCTCATATTTGTTGCAGATCTGTTTCTACCTAGTGTACACAAAGCTCTATAAATATCAACATCAAAGAAATATCTTGGAAAATCTGTAAACAGTACAAAATTTATCAGCAAACTTTATAAATAGCATTTAAATACATGCTGCAGGACCAATTAATAATAAGAATCTGCTAAGTCTCCTTAATGAACTCTGTGACTATAGGTAAACTACACAACACAGGCAAATTTGCCCTAGGAGCTCTTTCTTTGGAGGTGGGTTTTTTTCTGATTTTTCATCAAGTCACAATAAGTTTGAGAGTCCAGTTTCCAGATTCTTAGAAGTCCAAATTCAATAGTTCACAGAGACACCAAAGTTAAGTTGTTTGTTGTATTATTAGTTAATGAGCTGCATGTTGTGGCACACACCTGTAATCCCAGCTCTCCGGAGGCTGAGGCAGGAGGATTACTGCAGGTTGGGGGCCAGCCTGGGCTACAAAGGGAGTTCACGGCCAGCCTGAACTACGTAGTGAGACCCTATCTCAAAACAAAACAAAAATTAGTTAATGACCATGACACGTGGTAAGGACTTTTTTAAAAAGGAGAGCCATAACCGCTCATAGACAATTTCTCTCCCACAGAGATGCTATGGGAAGGCTCAGAACAGCCAACAGCTGCCTGAAGGGGAGTGTCAGAACGCATTCAGTGTTGTTGAAGAAAGTCCAGGATGATTTCCCCCACAACAAATAAGGAACTGACATTCTGTGCAGCTGTGCTTGTGTTCTGCTTATTCTTCCATGAATACTTACGTTACTAGGTGGATAAGGAGGACGTCATTTTGTTGTATCCCTCTAACCATCACTGTGTGGTTTATACTCTCCTCAAACCTCTTTCTTTGGGTGTTCCGGGGTCTTCCCACTGCTCACTATGATTACACCAACAAAACTCACCAGATCGTGTTTCCTGCATGTATTCTCCTTGAGCTTCTGTTTCCTTTATAGCTTTTTTTGGACTTTTTTTTATGTCTTTAGAAACTTTTCTTCCCGGAGAAACTACTAGTTTTTAGCACCAGTTTATATATGTCAGAAAGGATTTAGACAGGTTTTTTTTTTTCTTTAGCAAATAATAAACTTAGGTATTGATGGAGCATTCAAATAAAATCTTTAAATAAATCTTTCAAATAAAATCTCCTACGTCTTCAAGAGTTAGATATTAAATAAATCAAAAAAATATTTAACTATTGTGTTCCAGTTAACGTTTTTTATCCTCTTGTTAACATTTTACATATTGTTTCTGTTCAACCAATTTCAGAACTTCATGAAAAAGTTGGGTGGTTGGCTGTGTAATAGGGTAATGCAATGGAAGTCTCTTTTTCAAAGCTGGTATGTGAATAAAGTACCTGAAAATCATAAAAGAAACAAAATACTTTAAAAACAGGAGTTTTCACACTGGTCACGTCAGTACAGCCACAAGACTCAGTCAGCATTTCTAACCCCCAATTCCCCCATTTGTGACCTAGAAAATCTTTGATATGTGTGCCTCATTGAAACGCTTTAGCAAAGGAAGTGAGCTTCATTAATAATGTATCAGCCATCAAAGCATTAAGGAAGCCAAGATAGTCTTCACCACAGCATGACCCCAGGCTGCTGCTTTCTAACGGTTTCTCAGGAGCTGCTCAGTGGGGAATTGAAAGTGCCAAGCTATGGTGACCACCAGTGCCAAGTCAAGAGGAGAGAGTTTACCTCCAGGACCTCAGAGAAAGTATAGGAAGGGCTGGGGAAGAAACAAAGGTGAAGTAGTCTTCAGTTGTCCCTTTGGATGGCTTCAAAGAATGGTTCTAAACTCTGAATATGCATTTAGAATCACCTGGGAAGCTGTCTTAAGGTAACCACCCCAGAGGAAGGGAGGCAGGGTAGAGCAAAAGGAGAATATAAAGGAAAGTGATAAAGGGTGCAAATGAACATAGATTTTGTGTACATATGAAAATACATTGAAACTCACTGTTTTATAAAATTAATAGGCATGAATAAAAATATATATTTAAGAAACATCACTACCCAGCCTACCCCAGATAAAATAAAACAGAATTTCTACATGAGAGACTAGATCTGGAGTGTTAATAGTTACTCAGGTGATTCCAATGCAAAGTGAATTGAAAAATCACTAGTTTGCAAGAAGGTCACATACCTAGATGCACACAAATCATGTAAATTAGAGAGGTTGGATAAGAAAATCTCCCATGTACAATCTCCCATGTTTGTGAGTGAAAACAAGACAGAAGGAGATGGCAGCAAACTAATAGCACATGGTCCATGGCTGGGAGCTCCAGCTAACTGAGGCCATCTAGGAGTGCACCATTTTTCCAGTCACCCTGATTTTTACAATCTCATGTTTTAAAATTGTGTTGTGTCACACATGCCACAACATAGGTGGGCCTGTGTTTGTTTGGTTTTAAAAAGGCCACATATTGGATTATTCCATTTAGACAAGATGGTCAGAACAGGCAAATTCACCAAGACAAAAGGGGATCACTGCTTGCCAGAGGCTAGGGGAAGAAAGAATAAGCTGTGACTGCTTAGTGGGTTCTGGGTTTCTTTTGGGGTGATGAAACTATTCTGCAGTTCAATAGTAATAGCTGCAAAACATCGTGAAATAAAGTATTAAGAGTCACAGAAATATATACTGTAAATTTCATGCTATGTGGATTTTTCTTTAATAAAAAAGAAAAAGGAAGTAAGGAGACAGACATGAGAGGGCATGGGAACTGGGTTATTTGGACCAACTGAGAGCCAAACAAATGCCTTTTATGGCAGCCAGAATACACTTTATTGTGGAATAACACATGGAAGAAAAACATTCCACAAACAAGGATGACACTTTTAAGCCAATCTTAAGGCCATAATGTATGTCTTCATATCCTTCTATGTCTGCATCCAAACTAGCAACAAAGCTATGCTGGCTGCAACCTTTTCTTTTTAACACATACAACCTGAGGTTTTTTTCCTTAATAGGTGTTAATGCAGGCTGTACAGCTAAGTGCAGTTGGCTTTGCCAGCCTATAAATAGAAGTGAACCCCTGAGGTGCAAAAGAACAGGCTGACTGATGAAATCAATGCTAGTTGCTGCTTTTTTCTTACTGTTCTTTACAGATTAAGAGTAGGGTAAATGGAACAAAAAAAAAAACACTCTAATAACAGTGTTTATTAATCATTCCTCCTTTATCTACTGATTTTCCCCCAATGACTCAGTTGAATTCACAATCTGTATATTTATAATCTTCTCAAGGGTTTGTTACTCCTAATTATTCAAAACTGGTTAAAATCACGACTACTTCTGTGAAACACAAGCTGTAAGAAAGAGAATGAGTGAGAAACAGTCTTTCAAAGTGTTTGATATTTCAGTGGCCTGAGAACATACCTCAAATGGCAATGGTTCTTAGAAGTCCCTCCAAATCCTACCGTACTTCTGATCAAAGTGAAATATTATCAAAGAGGTAGAATTTTCGATTATCACCTAATCTTTTAAATATTGGACAGTGTTGTAGGTTTGCATAAAAATCAGAAATGAGTAGTTGTATTGCAGATTAGATGCAGAATTTTTACTTACCTGAATTCTTCACTGTAGTCATTCCTGATGTACTCAGCTAGAGTCTTGCTATACTGCAGGCAGCTCTTGAGGATGTAAAACTGTTGGTACAACAGAACCGCTTGGCAGGGACTCAGCAGCTGGAAGGAGGCTGAGAGCCCCTTCACCACTTGTTTCACAATATTGGCCACAAACGTAATCTAGACAAGAAAATTCAGTTGCATGCCACTCATAACGGCCTCTGTTTCAACCAAAGCCTCACCACCTTATACCAGTGCCGGGGTGCTATTTCCTGCTGAACTGGTACCCAGAGCACACCACATTGTGTCAATCGGGGCCTAAGTTTTTAACTCGGTTAGTGCCTCGAAAGAGACCTTGAAAGATAATCAGAGCTGACTGCCGTGGAGGTGCATGCAATGATCCTGATAGTTTCTTTGCTTGCAGAGGTCTTTCTGATGGCTTCTACCCATGCTATTTAGAACTCAGTTATCAGGGAAGGTTTCAACAGTGTTTGTGATTCTTTTGTGACCCTTCATCCAGACACACACATGGTCATCAGAGAATAATCTCAATTCAGTACCTTGGGGAAACCAATTCTAGTGATTGATAAAGGAATTTTCCGGCTTTTTAGAATCCTTAGAACCCCAGATTTTCACCCATCAGCTCATGATAGCACTTACAACCACTATATAGAATAAGTAGGCATCTTGCAACTTGCACGTACAATCTCCCATGTTTGTGAGTGAAAATTATGACACTCCTCAAAGTGGGCCTGAGACTGGCTGGAATCTGTGCACTGTTTAAAGAGCCAAGACCATGGGATTCATTTCTGTAACAACATAGCTGGCTATTCTACTGACACATGTACTTTCTAGCCCCAGCCAGCTTCTCATAAATGTATGTCACAGGGATCTGACAAGAGAACCTAAATTCCACAGAACAGACCGAATATCATACTAGACGAACAACTTAAAGCAAGAAACTATGGATGATCCACAGGCGCATGTTCATATGTGGAAAGGGAACACATTTTACCATATGTCAAGTCTATTATTCACAGGAAAATTTAGTTTGGATTACTTCTTTTTGGAGAGATTTTCAGTTAAATATATGAATGTGTGAATGAATGAAGGGAAAATAAATTGAGGGGTGGGAAGAGACTAAGGGAGACTTTATTAAATTAATTCAACAGATAATTTACTGTGCATCTTTTATGCACCTAGCACAACAGATACATTTCCTACCCTCAGGGCTCCTTCATGTATTGGGAAAGAGTCACAATAGGCTAGTTATGCTGAGTAACAACCTTTGAAACAAATACTTTGCATAAAACAGTAAAGGTTTATTATTTGTTCATCTTATATGCCCCTCAGGGGTTACTGGGGCCCCTGTTCATTGTAGGGCCATCAGCTGGTAGAGCAGTCACCATGTCAGAAGGAAAAGAATGCAGAGAAGCATGCACTGGCTCCTATGACTTCTTCTCAGAAGTGAAAATGCTGCTTGGGCTCACAATCCCCATTGGTCAAATAAAAAACAGAGACCCACCTAATTTCAGTGAGGAAAGTATAGTTCTACCATGCTCATGGCAAGAAGAAGAGCCAGACCCCATATGGTCACTAGTGGCTACCACAGAGCAGACCACACAGTAATGCAAATGTAAACTGTGACCATGACAAGTCCTATGAAGGAAAGACGAGGACATTCTGCTGTGCATGAGGTCCACTGCGAAGGGCAAATCTGACCAGTGCAAGGACCTAGTGACTTCTCCTCTGCCTCCTACCCCAGGAAGGAACACTGAGGGCTGAACAATGAGGTGGTGTAATTCGTTAGTAAAGAGGCAACAGCAGTCCAGAGAGACTGTTAAGGTTGGAATACTTCTCACAAAGTTTATGTGTTAGAAGCTTAATCCCCAGTGCAACAGAGTTAGGAGGTGATGCCTAAGAAGAGGTGACTGGGTCACGAAGGCTGTGCTGGTATGGCTGAATTCATCCAAATGGATCCCTACTGGAGTGGCTTCCAAGTTGCAAGAAAGAGTTGTTACAAAGCTGAGTGTGCACCCCTGCATTCGCATATGCTCTCTCAACCATGGTCCCACAGCTCTGGGACAGTGTAGCAAGAAGGCCCTCATCAGATGCAGCTCTCTTATCTTGGAATCCCCAGCCTCCTGAACCGTAAGTTAAATGGATATCTTATAAATTACCCGACCTTGGCAAGCAACACTGTGACATATTAGCAAAATAGTCTGCCATAATTTAAGCTTACTAGAGCAAGAAAGTCCAATCTATCCCAGCACTCTCCCCTCTGTGAGACAGTTACACAGACTTAAACAGTGTAAAAATTTTTTAAAAATTACCCAGTCTGTGGTACTTTTTTATAAGAGCACAGAAGAGACCACTGGCAAAGATCCTGTGATGGAGGAAGAGAGACACCACATGACCAGGTGAGGGAGGGCCCAAAGGACACTTGGAGGGCCACAATGTATGGGATTTTGAAGGCCGTATTAGGAATTGAGTCTTTGTTCAAAGAGAAAAGCTGTTGAGAGATTTAAAGCAAGGAATTACAATGAGATTTTTATTTTAAATAGCTTCCTCTGGCTGTAACCTGATGGGAAAACAGAGACCAAACTTCTGGATGCCAGTGTAGCACCAGGGAGAGAGATGACATAGTATAGGCTGAGAGGTTCTAGCCTAACCAAAGTGCACAGATGATCCCAAGGATTATGTTCTTATTTGGCCTTTCAGGTAAATATTTATCTTTTTACTTAATTATAAACCCAATAACAATATTTTGGTTTTTTCATAAAATAAAAATGACATTTAGGATATCATTTTAATATCTTAAATGTTGGATTGCAAATGTAAAAGCATTTTATTTTAACTAAGTAATAAAATTATCAAATTTATACCTTGCTTTTGTTTTATAAACTTCAGTACTTCATAGAGAAAATTTGTTAATTAAACACAACAGCATCTGGTTAATTAGGCTTCAGCAGGCTTATGGTTTGTGTCTACATGTCCCCCAAAAGCCTCGTATGATCATGTGGGTGGACCTTTCAAGGGTGGCTGAGTCTCGTCTTTGTGATTGGTTCATTGTCTAGTGCTGAGATTGGCCGTGTGAGTGCTGCACTGCCCAGGGGCTGGTATCCAGCACACAATATAAGGGAGGTCCCTTTTGCCCTTTTTGCTAGTTACCATGTGTACCTGTTGCTGCAATGAATGACTGCCCCTGTTCCATGACACCCTGCCTTGAAACCATCTGAATATGGACTGAAACCTCCAAAAACTGTAAGTTAAATAAACCTTTCCTTCTTATTTTGGGTGTCAGGCATTTTGTCTCAGCAATGAGAGAAAAGTAACCAAGACAAGTAGTGATTTTGTGTTACTTCTAAGTACTTACTATGGGAGGACAATTTTGTAGAAAGGACATCATCCAGCTAATAGCAAATGTTGTTGACTCCAATCCAAGATTTCCCTAAAAATGCAAGCAACAGACAAGTTGTCTCATGAAGTTTAAATTGCACATAAAAAGGCTCATTCTGAAATACACTTTTATATTGATTAATCAAATCTTTAAGATCAGTATTTATTAATAAGCTAAATGAGCACCTAAGAGAAAAGATGGTTTTTAAATCAACCACTTCTGGGGACCACCTTTAGTAGAAACATTTTTGGCATATTTTTAATCATAACATTTATGTTATCATATAAGACATATAATAAAAAAATATGTACCTGCTGAAAGACAAGTAGTATCTCATATAAAAGTGCTGTAGCTTTATCTGTATATTCCAGGATAAGCTTCTGTAACTACAATTTCCAAGAGTAATCAATACAATATCATAGGCTGAGTCAGAAAGTAATATTTCCCTTGGTTCCCTTTAGATACTTATAAAAGAGCTTTTATTAACTTTATTTATTTGACAAATATATATCAGACACTGTGATAAGTATGGAGGATACAATGGGGAACAACACAGACACGATCACTGCCCCTGCTGAATATAAAATCTGGTTGAAAAACAGCTATCAATCTAACGGTCAAATGAATAAAGTCACAATTGTAAACTGAATCCAAGGCTGTGCAAGAAAAATGTGGGAAGTTAAGAGCTGTGAAGAGGTCTAGTGTCTTTTTAGGTTAAGGAAAGCTTTCTTCTGACCTGTGTCATCCCTCACCTACACTACCGCATTAATTCTTAGCAACATTGCCAGTTTGAGCCTAGCTTACTGTTCAGTACTCTTCCAAATGAAAGTATACTGCAGACACTCCATATAGACTCTATAATGATGGAGATCTGGTGCAGGCAGAAATGGGGTCTGTTTTGCTTATTTCTTAGATTCTGCACATTGTTTGCTCATAATAGATGCTAATAAATATTAACTAAGTGAAAAAATTTTCTAAAACCTAATTCCAATTGTATATTTAAGAATATCCAATCATGTTCCATCCATTAAAAACATTGTATGTTGACTTGACTCAAAATAAACTAATAATAAACTGGTTTACTCACTCACTACACATGTTCCTAGGCAACTTGATATTTCCAATGCTTTAATTTAATATTAGAAAAAAACTATGACTGAGAGTTTCTACTACTCATATAAGTAGAGAGATGGTAAATTAAAGCCCAAAGTTAATCGTAAAATTCCTAAAATGGTGCTTTTTCTGTAATTTAAAATTAAAATTACATGTATATTAATATTGCACATAAAGATAATAAGATTTATATAATTTATACAGAATACTATTTTTATTTAGTGCATACACCTTAAAACAACATACACACACACACATATACAGAACAGTTCACTAAGTTTTTAGTTGAATAACAAAATACCTACTCTTTTACTTAAGTATATTTCTATATTCTATATCATCATAATCTACACTGAAAGAAACTACTACCCATCCATGTTATAGTCTGTCTACCCCCTCCCAAATTTGCATCTTACCTCAGCATCGTAAGACATTTCAGCTGAAGGTGAATCAGCCACCACGTGAATGTCAAGCACAGGACAAGGTTTTGGAATCTGAGGTTTGCTAATTAAAATCACCAAAAGTTTAAATAATGTTCCCCTGAAAGAATACATTAAAGGCCATTAGCAAATAAGGTTTGGAAAAGAAAAACAATGAAACTAAGTTCACAGATATTTATTGACTGAACTTTTTTTTGGGTCCCTGATCATTCACATGAATGTCTTCTTAGAAAATAATTTTTTTTGAAATAAAAAACTTAAACTAAGCATGGTGACACCTGACTGTAATCCTAGCAAAGCTGAGGCAGAACTACAAGTTTGAGCGCAGCCCAAAAAACTTGGTAAGACTATCTAAAAAAAAAAAAAAAAAAAAAAAAAATAGCTGTAGGTATAGCTCTGTGCAAGAGCTTGGTTTCAGTCCCTAGTGTCAGGGAAGGCAGAAAAAAACTGAAATGAAAACATAATTTCTTTTGCTACATGTTTGAGCAGTATGTTACCTAATTAATTATTTGAAAATAAAAAGACAAAAAAATCACAATTCAAAATGTGCTACTTAACGAGCTGGGTCTGTAGTATTGCTTTCTTGTTTAACAAATCTAGATTAAAGAAAGATTTTGATTATTTGGATTATAGTAATATTTTCCAAAGGGCTTTTACTAACTCCAGGCATTGTTGTAATCAAAGTAGATTCTGTGGCCCAAGGAAGTAGAGGAGTACTTGGCTCAACTAAGTTTATTGGTTATATTAACTACAGCAAAGACTTTAATATGCTAATATGCACTGTGTATCCCTGGGACAAGAAACAATGTGTGCAGCATTTTTTAAATTAACAAATAAACTTGTATATACTCATGGTGTACAAAATGATATTTCGAAATACATCTACATTCTGAAATGGCTGAACTGAGTTAGTTAGCTTATGCTAACTCACATACTTATCTTTTTTCTTCTAATGAGAAAACTTTGAATCTACTCTTACCAATTTCCAAGTATGTGATAATTGCTATTAGCTACAGTCCCTGGTGTCTCGCAATAAATCATTTGAGCTTAGTCTTCCTGCCTGACTGAAATATTGTGTCCTTTGACCACATCTTCCAATGCCATCACCCAGTCCCAATTCCTAGAAACTTCCATTCTACCCTTCATTTCTGAATTCAACTTTTTTACATTCTACATATAAGTGATACCACTGGGCATTTACCTTGCTGCACATGTCTTATTTCATTTAGTACAGTGCCCTCCACACTCATCTATTACTGTCATAAATGACAGGGTTTCCTTCTTTTTTTTGAGATTCAACTATATGTGTGTGCATATATATATATATATATATATATATATATATATATATATATGTAATGTTTTCTTTATCCATCCACCCACTGATGGACACTTAGGCAGATTCCATATCTTGGCTATTGTGAATATGTGAAATGTTCTTAAAAATATTTATTTGAGCCCAAGTTTTGTAATCTCCAAATCCTTTTTTTTACTAAAAAAATTTTAAAAAGAAGGATAATAAGATAAAAGAGTACATAACAACATAACAACATAGGTCAGAACAGAACAATTTAAGCAACACAGTGTTTCACCACAAGATAACCCAGCATAACAGTAGTTACCATAGTGTCTCTTTCCTTGAAATATTTGAGTGTAACTTCATATACTATAACATCAAACATAACATGACAGTGTAAAACCATTCAAGAGATGAAAGTATTACAGGGTATTTAGAACCAACTAACAGAAAACGAACAATGGTTTCTATATTATCTCCTTGTCTATAAAAATTTTTGTTTACACTATCACATATAATAAAACCCAAATCCTTTTTTCAGCTGAGCATTTTAGAGGTTTACTGTTCCATTGAGCACAACTGGGTATTAATAATAAAACATATTAAATCTCAGATCTTTTGCTTTCAAATACAGTGTACTGCACATTAACCTACATGAACTCACTTAAATTTTGCTGCATGTTTGAGTAGTATGTTACCTAATTAATTATTTGAAAAATAAAAAGACAAAAAAAATCACAATTCAAAATGTGCTACTTAACAAGCTGGGTCAGTATTATCGCTTTCAAATGTTAAGAACAAACTTATGTACAGTTGAAAAGAAGCTGAAGGTAGACCACCACAAAATCAGCTGTCTAACTCAGTGTCCCCGTTACCCCAGCTACTGGGGAGGCTGAAGCAGGAGAATCACTTGAGCCAAGAAATGAGTTCACAGAAATGAGTTCAAGAACAGCTTGGGCAATACAGTAAGAAAAAGGAAGGAAAGAAGGCAAGGGTGGAGAAAAAGAGAGATAGAAGAAGGAGGAGGAAGAGGAGAAGGAGGGGGAGAAGAATAAAAAGAGGAAGAGGAGGAGGAAGAGGAAGAAGAAGAAAAAGAAGAAGAAGAACAACAACAAGAAGAAGAACAAGAACAAGAACAAGAACAAGAACAAGAAGAAAAGGTAGAGAAAAATCAGTTGCCTAAATGAAAACAGCGTCAGGGTCACATTGGAGCCTGGAGAAAGATAACGCAAAGGTAAGACTTCTCTAAAATTCTCTGTAACCATAAGCATTCTTTTCACAATGGGATAAAAGAGGCTATAAACAATTCTTGTTTACTAATACTTGAGACTTCCTAGTATTTTTATAATTTAAATCATTACCATGATTGGAAGCTCGTAATTAACCAAAATTCCAGTGAAAATACAATCTTACACACACACACACACACACACACACACACACGGCTAGACATGGGGCACATACCTGTAATCCCAGCACTCAAGAGTATTGCCGTGAGTTTAAGGCCAGCCTGAGCTGTATTACAAGACTCTAAGCACAACAAAATAAAACCATATCTAGGTCTTCCAATTAAAAATGTAAGTCTAATTATTCTGCCTTGAGAAGAATCATGTTAGTATATTTCTCAAAAAAGCAAGATAGATCCTATAGGCTATTTACTAAAGTTTTGCAGGCTATATATTTTTTTTTTATTTAAGAGGAAAAAGAGAAAAACACAAAACAAAACAAAGCAGTGTAAGGTTACATATAATACAGAACTACAAAAAAAAAAGCATAACAGTAAGAAATCACCTGTTAATAGATTACACATTATCATCTTGGAAATAGTTGCTCAAATCACAGTATCAAAGAATACAAAGTAGACATTCAAACAGAGAGACTACAAACAGCTGTGTTCAATGATCCAAAAACATTAATATAGTCAGCTATTCAACATCCCTATACACACTTGCTGTTATATCCGTTAGAGCTCTTTTTTCCCCTTCCTCTCTTTTTACAACAAAATTTACACATTTTAGATTTTATTACTCCTTAGTTCTTATTACTTTTTGGGGGGGGGGAGAATAAAGTCAAATATGGCAGAACAAAGCTGTCAGTGAAAACCAAGGATAGACTTAGCACATGATGTAGAACAGAGTATACGGTATATTAACAATAGTTATCAACGTTGTCTCTTGTTTCCTTAAAAAGATTTGTCTATCTCATTAGATATTATAAAGTTGGACAAAACAGTAGAGAACAAGACCAATAAAACTTAGACATTGTAAACATTACAGGACTTCCAAAGGAGACAATAGTCAAACCAGAATGGGCATCTTAGTGAATCTTACTGCCTTCAAAGTAGTTGCCTATACCCTCGGACCTGATACTATCCCACAGAATGGAACAGAGTCTAATCAGTCAAAACAAGATCGTGGGAGCATTACAGGACTTCAAAACAAGTTAATAGGAAATCGAAAAGAGTTACTATTATATATCCTAATTTTTTAAATTTTTCCCTTAATTAAAATAAACATAAGAAATAACTAAATAATTTTTTTAAAGAATAATAGTTACCATAGTGTCTGTCTTTTTCCTTGAGATATTTGGATAAAACTTCATATACTATAGCTTCAAATATTTCCATATCAAGAAGCCCGGAATAAAGCCTTTCTAATTAATAAGTGAAAATTTTATAAGGCTTCAAGGCCACATAATGGGGAATCATGATTGCCACATATTTTCATATATTTGAATCATTACTTACATTAGGGAAACTATTCGGTATTCATACATGCGAGATTGATTTATTTCACTTATGAGTATGGTCTCAAGCTGCGCCCATTTATTGATAAATATCTCAATGTGATCCTTCTTTATAGCTGAATAATATTCCATTGTATAGAAATACCACAACTTTTTTATCCATTCCTCAGTTGATGGACACTTGGGTTGTTTCCAAGATCTGGCGATTACAAATTGTGCTGCTATAAACATAGGTGCACATAAATCACTGTGGTATGATGCTTTCAGTTCTTCTGGGAATATGCCTAGAAGTGGAATAGCTGGAATAAATGGGATTTCCAATCCCAACTTTTTGAGAAACCTCCAGACAGACCTCCACAAAGGCTGTACCAGTCTACACTCCCACCAACAGTGCAGGAGAGTTCCTTTTTCCCCACATCCTCTCCAGCATTTGTTGTTGTTGGTTTTCTTGATCCTGGCCATTCTTTCAGGAGTGAGATGGAATCTCAGTGTGGTTTTAATTTGCATTTCTCTGATGACCAATGATGATGAGCATGTTTTCATATATTTATTTGCCATTTGCATTTCTTCATCTGAGAATTGCGTATTCATCTCAGATGCCCATTTTTGGATTGGATCTTTGAATTTTGGAGGTCTGAGTTTTTTTAATTCTTTATATGTTTTAGACAAGAGTCCCTTGTCTGAGAGAGAGTTCACTAAAATCTTTTCCCAGTTTGTGGGTTTTCTTTTCACTATGCTGGAGATTTCTTTTGACATGCAGAAACTTTTTAATAAGATGTGGTCCCAGTTATTGATTCTGGGAAGTGTTTCCCGTGCGGTTTGAGTCCTGTTCATGAATTCTCTACCTACTCCTATGTCTCCAAGGTTTCTACCCACTTTGTCTTCCAATAGATTTAGTGTTTCTGTTTTAATATTCAGATCTTTGACCCATTTAGATTTTAATTTAGTACATGGTGATAGACATGGGTCTAGCTTTAGTTTTCGGCAAATGGAGAGCCAGTTTTTCCAGCACCATTTATTAAAGAGACTGTCGTTCTTCCAGTGAACCTGCTTGGCTCCTTTATCAAAGATAAGGTGGTTGAGTGTGTTTGTAGTTGTGGTTGTATTTTCTAATCTATTCCATTGATCTTCGCCTCTGTTTTGATTCCAATACCATGTTGATTTTACTACTGTTGCTTTGTAGTATAATTTCAAGTCAGGGATTGTGATGCCTCCTGCTTTGCCTTTGCTGCTTAGAATTGCCTTTGCGATTCTAGGTCTCTTCTGGTTCCAGATGAAATTTAGGAGTGATTTCTCTAGATCTATAAGGTATGTTGATGGTATTTCTATTGGGATTGCATTGAATCTGTATAAGAGTTTTGGGAGAATGGCCATCTTCACAATGTTTGTTCTTCCTATCCATGAGCAAGGGATGTCTTTCCATTTTCTGAGATCATCTTCAATTTCCTTTTTCAGTGTATTATAGTTTTCACTGTATAAGTCTTTCACTTCTTTCGTAAGAGTAATTCCTAAATATTTCATTTTTTTGCTTGCTAATGTGAATAGTCCAGTTTCTCTTATTTCCCTCTCTGTAATTTTGTTGTTCGTGTATAGGAATGCTATTGATTTCTGAGTATTGATTTTGTATCCAGCCACATTACTGAATTTATTTATTGTATCTAAGAGTATTTCAATGGAGTTTAGGGGGTCTTCTATGTAGAGTATCATGTCATCTGCAAACAATGATAACTTAACTTCTTCTTTTCCTATCTTTACCCCTTTTATTTCTCTTTCTTGCCTAATTGCTCTGGCTAGTACTTCCAGTACTATATTAAATAGGAGTGGTGATAAAGGACATCCTTGTCTTGTGCCTGATTTTAAAGTAAAGGCTTTCAATTTTTGGCCATTTAGAATGATGCTGGCTGTTGGTTTGTCATAAATGGCCTTTATTATATTGAGGTAAAGACCATCTATTCCAATTTTCTGTAGAGTTTTTATCCTGAATAAATGTTGGACCTTATCGAAGGCTTTTTCTGCATCTATAGAAATGATCATGTGATTCTTATTTTTGGCTTTATTGATATGGTGGATTACATTTATTGATTTGCGTATGTTGAACCATCCTTGCATTCCTGGGATGAATCCCACTTGGTCATGGTGTATAATCTTCTTGATGATTTGCTGGATCCTATTTGCCAATATTTTATTGAGGATTTTTGCATCTGTGTTCATTAGGGAGATCGGTCTATAGTTCTCTTTTTTAGTTGGGTCTTTCTCAGGTTTTGGTACTAGAGTAATATTTGCTTCCAGGAACGACTTAGGAAGGATTGCTTCCCTTTCAATTTCATTGAACAGTTTGAGGAGTGTCGGCATTAGGTCTTCTTTGTATTTCTTGTAGAATTCTGCAGTGAATCCATCTGGGCCTGGGCTCTTCTTGGTGGGTAAGGACTTAATTACATTTTCAATTTCAGTAACAGAGATTGGGTTATTCAACAGTTTTACATCCTCTTGATCTAGCTTTGGCACTTCATATGCTTCTAAGAATCTGTCTATTTCTTCTGTGTTATCAAACTTTTGAGAGTAGAGGTTTTCGAAGTAGGTGTTGATGATCTTCTGTATTTCTATTGGGTCTGTAGTGATTTCTCCTTTTTCATTTCTTATTGCATGAATTTGAGCTTTTTCTTCCCTTTTTTTAATAAGGTTGGCTAGGGGCTTATCGATTTTATTTATTCTTTCAAAGAACCAACTCTTTGATTTGTTGATTCTTTGGATTGTTTTCTTAGTCTCTATTGCATTGATTTCTGCTCTGATTTTTATAATTTCCTCTCTTCTTTTGGCTTTGGGCTTGACTTGCTCTTCTTTTTCTAGCTGTTTGAGGTGTAGCATCAAGTTATTTATTTGTATTCGTTCTGTTTTCCTGATGTGGGAACTCAGTGCAATAAATTTTCCTCTCAGGACGGCTTTCATTGCATCCCACAGGTTCCGGTAAGTTGTATCTGTATTTTCATTTTCTTTTAGGTATTGTTTGATTTCTTCTTTAATTTCCTCTGTGACCCACTGATTACTCAAGAGTGTGTTATTCAGTTTCCATGTGTTTGTGGGATTTTTGCAGTATCTTTTATCATTAATTTCTAATTTCAGAGCGCTATGATCCGATAACATGCAAGGGATGATTTCAGCTCTTTTGCACTTGTTTAAATATGTTCTGTGAGCTAATATATGGTCTATTTTAGAAAATGATCCATGTACTGCTGAGAAGAATGTGTATTCTGATGTTGTTGGGTGGAACATCCTGTATATGTCTATCAAACCCATTTGTTCACAGGTATGATTCAGTTCTGTTATTTCTTTGCTCATTTTCTGTCTGGTTGATCTGTCCCTTGGTGTCAATGGTGTATTAAGGTCTCCTGTTACAATTGTGTTACTGATAATTTGAGTTTTCATTTCTGTTAATAATTGTTTTATATAACTTGGTGCTCTGGAGTTTGGTGCGTATATATTTAAGATAGTTATCTCTTCCTCTTGGAGTTTTCCCCTTACAAGTATGTAGTGACCTTCTTTGTCCTTTATGGTCATTGTTGGTTTAAAGTTCACGTTGTCTGCAAACAGAATGGCTACTCCTGCCTTTTTCTGGATTCCTGCTGCATGAAGAA